AATTCGGTTCTTCGGGTTGGGTTGGGGTGGTTTGGTAGTCAGAGAAGGAGGTACCTTCTCGGAGAATGGCGGGACTTTGCAGAAGCCCTCGCGCCTTCTCAGAGGTCTTCTTCACCTTGGGGGAAGAGGCCTAGGAAATTCTTTTCAGAAGGCAGGGGGGGACTTCCGAAACTTCTGAGAAGGCCCGCCCCTTCTCGCTGCCCCCCCGGCTTGCCGCCGAGACCTGTGGTGCGCGCCCAATCGCCGATGCATCGCCAATGTATCGGCGATGTATCGGCGATGCGGCGCGATCCTCTGGCCCCATCTACGGATCCGACGAGTCCGACATGGATTCGACAGGTTTTCGACGCGGATGGGGCCGCGACGGATTTCGGGCCCCCCGAGCATGCCACAGATTTCGCGCCCCCCCCCCAGAGCCCAGAGCCGCGCACCAGAGGCCACGCTTGCCCATGGGCCGCCCGTCCGTGTGGCCGACCCGTCGCCCGCCACGGCTGCGGCCCGGGGAGGGGGCGCGATGGCGGCGGCGGCCACCTATTCCTTCAGCTCGCGGCCGAAGCCCGTGGCCGCGTCGCGCAAGAAGTGCGCCGCCGCCGCCGCCGCCGCGGCCGTGGTCGTGGCCGCGACGTCGCCGCCGTGCGGTCGGCCTCGGAGGAGGGGGCGCGACTCGAGGCAGTGGCGGTTGGCCTTCGGGGCGGCCCCCCGTCGCCGCGGCCGGACGCAGCCCGGAACATTGGTGGATTTGACCCCGGGAGGGGTCCGGGACTGGTTTGAGTTGCCGTTGTCTCAGCTCGCGCTGCTCCGAGAGGTCGCGGTCGCGGCCGCGTCGCCGTTGCCCTGCGTCTGTCGCTCGGCGCGCTCGGGTCCTCTCGAGGGGGCGCGTTGGCCTCACCCCTGCTCCTTCTCCTCCCGCTTCTCCTGCTCTCTCCCTCCTGCTGCACCTTTTCTATACCCTCCACGTCGTCGTCCGCATGCTCCTGCTCCTCCTCATCCTCCGGGTGCCATTCCCCCCGTCCTCCTCGGTTCCTCGGTTAACGCTGGGGCTCCGCTCCCCTCGTCCTTCGGGCTGACGCCTCCCCGACGCGCGGCCAGACGTGTCGGTAAGCCGGCCAGGCGTCTCGCATGAGCCTGCCTCACAGCGCATGATCTTGAAGCTCGAAATCCCTAGCCGCCGCACGGAGACAGCACACGCCGCTTTCAACAGATGTGCGTGTGTGCCCAGAGGGCCGATGCGAAGGAAGCAGACCGCGGCTGACAACTAGAGAAACACATCGCCGGAGGTCCTGCGCTTTCGGAGGGTGCCCAAGCTCTCCTCGGATGGGGATCGCCAGGGTTTGGGGGGGTCGCCCGGGGCGCTTCCAGCCAGCTGCGCTCGAGGGCCGCCCGCGCAGGAGGCCTGGCGCCGCCCAGGGGCGGCCCAGGCCCCACCGCCCCTCCGCAGAATGTGTGTGTGTGTGTGTGTGTCTGTGTGTCTGTGTGTCTGTGTGTCTGTGTGCAGCTCTGGCCCCGCCGAACGTCCCACGAGAAAGTCGGGTGTCTTGGCATCCCTCGGCCGTGGGCATCTCTTCCCGTCGAGGACCAGCGAGGAGTCGGGGAGCCTCCGGTGCACGGCCAAGACGGTGGGCTCCCGCGCCCCAGGGGGCCTCGGGCTCCCCTTTCTGAGGAGGCCAGGGCGGGGTGGGGGGGGGGGGCCCTCCCCGTGGTTCTGCTGCTGCCTAGTGCCCAGAGGTCGCCGCCGCTCGAGCCCCGTGTGTGTGTGTGTGTGTGCGTGTGTGTGTGTGTGTGTGTGTGTGTGAGTGTGTGTGTGTGTGAGTTGTGAACGTGTATGTGTGTATGTGTGTGTGTGTGTGCGTGTGTGCGTTTGTGTGCTTGTGTGGGCGAATGCGTGAATTTGTGAATATGTGTGTGCGTGCGTGCGTGTGCGTGTGCGTTTGCGTGTGTGTGTGTGTGTGTTGATTGTATGTGCGTGATGTGTGTAGTGCGTGTGTGTGTGTGTGTGTGTGTGTGTGTCAGTCTTGTGAATATTGGGTGTTGGGTGTGTCGTGTGTGTTGTGTGGTGTATGTGTTGTGCGCTGTGTGTGTTGTGTGTATTGTGCTTGGTGTATGTGGGGTGTGTGGTGTGTGTGTGTGGTGTGTGATTTGTGTTGCGTGAGAGAGAAAGAGAGAGAGAGAGAGAGAGAGGACGACGACGACGACGACGACGACGACGACGACGACGACGACGACAACGACGATGAAAACGACGACCACGACGACGACGACGGACGACGCGATGCGATGCTCAGGACCCCTCGGAAGCCAGGGCACTGCAGGATCTGCCGAATCCAGCGGGAGGGCACGTGAGGACCTGGATGCACAGATCTCCAGCGATGTGATTCGAATCAGTCCTGGCCTCCCCGATGTCGGCTCCCCGGGGGCCGCTTCCAGGCCCCGACACCGCCCCAGAAACAAAGTCGGGGACGCGTGGGGGGATCGGCGATCTTCGTTGTGCTTCTTTTTTTCCGAGATCGACGGAGGCGCTCGCTTCCCCCCCTCCCCTACCCCGATAGAGTGGTTCGGGATTGATTCGGGCACTTGCTCCCACCAGTTGATGTCCGAAGCACGGGGGCCGCGCCCCCACGGTGGAGACTCGAAGCACCGATGTGCGCAACCGGTTATGCATTCTCTTCTTCGCTTTCCTGCGCCGTCTGGGAAAACAAAGAGAGGGCTCCGGGGCGCCGGGCGCAGTCGCAACAGAAAGACATACATCGCCCCCCCTCTTCTCTCGTACCCCTGAGCGCCTCGAGAAGGAGCACGATGACATCGGACCCAGCGCAATTCTCGCGCAGCCCCTGACGGATCCAAGGTTCCCGCTTGGTTCAGTCATGGTGAGATGGAGTGAGCACGGGCCTGGAGCAGGAGGAGGAGGAGGAGGAGGAGGAGGAGGAGGAGGGGGAGGAGGAGGAGGAGGAGGGAGAGAGGAGGGAGGGAGGAGGATGAGGAGATGAGGAGAGGAGGCGGAGGAGGAGGAGGAGGGAGGAGGAGGGAGGAGGGAGGAGGGAGGAGGGAGGAGGAGAGGAGGGAGGAGGGAGGAGGAGGAGGAGGAGGGAGGAGGGAGGAGGAGGAGGGAGGAGAGGAGGGAGGAGGGAGGAGGGAGGAGGGAGGAGGGAGGAGGGAGGAGGAGGAGGAGGAGGAGGAGGAGGAGGAGGAGGAGGAGGAGGAGGAGGAGTAGTGCACAAGCGCGGGGATGCTCGTCCCGGCCCACGGCCGCAGCGCCCTCGGCTGCCCCGAGCAGCGCAGCGCCCTCGCGGACGGGGCCCCGAGGCGTCCGGGGCGGTGGTCCCATCCTCGGGGGCTGTGGCCGAGGGGCCCAGTCGGGCCGGACGAAAGGGGGGGATTGGGAAAGGGGGGGGGTATAAAACGACGCGAGGATCGGGACAAAATCGGATCGGGATAACTCGAAATCTCTGAGAATCGGCGGGTTTGGAGGATGTATTGGGCGCCGCGGCCGCTCCAGAGCGTTCCGGAACGCTCTGAGAGCGCTCCGGAACGCTCCTCGGGGGCTGTGGCCGAGGGGCCCAGTTGGGCCGGACGAAAGGGGGGGTTGGGAATCCGCGCGATTCGGAAGCTGTTGTAATGCTGGAGCTGCTGAGCTGTGCCTTCAGCCATTGGATGCCTTGGCCTCGAGCTGTAGGCAAGTTGTAGAGCTCACGGCTTGGAGATCGTTTCCAGGATCACAAAGAGGTACCTTTTTCAGAGCAGCTGGAGATCTGGGACCGATGCACCTGGATATCCGACGTCATGCTTTCTTCACAGCGTCGCTCCCCAGAGGTCTGGACCTCTTTCGGGCCGGACGAAAGGGGAGATTGGGAAAGGGGGGGGGCTACGAAATTTGCTGCATGCAGCTGGTTTCGGCCCCACCGAGGGGCTCATGCCTCGATACATGGCCGCCTCCAGCGCCGGGAGGCGCCGGGAGCATCAGCTACGCGTGAGCTGATTCTCAGACCCCCCCCTTTGCCATCCCCCCCTTTCGCCCGGCCCGACCCAGGAAGCCCAGGCGCCCGCGGCACGAGGTAGTCGATAGGCGTCGGACGCGGGGAGGGGCGGGGCACACGGAGCGCGAGCGAGCACACGGCTGCCTCGCAGAAGGTACCGCGAGCCCGGTGCCGACCTGAACGACCCACAGTACCGCAGCCTGAAGGAGTCGGGGGTGGACAGACCTCCTACCCTGACACGTCGATTAAGGAATTGGCTGTTTTCGGCTCGCGAGGGGGCGTCGCGGCCGTCCTTTTTGCGGGTCCAGGTCCGTCGGTTTCGGTCCCAGGCCGTTTTCACTAAGGGGAGGTCTACTAAAGGGAAGTTTGTCCACCGCCGAAGGAGACATGCATCACCTGGGACCAGCGAGTGCACCGGGGCAACACCTACGGGATGTACACCCAGAAGGCGATCAGGGACTCGGCGGACGAAACCCTGCCGGCGGCCGAGCCGACGGTGGCGAGGCGCAAGAAGCCGAAGGCGAAAAGCATTTTCGACATGCCCCTGCCAGAGCTCGACAGGGTCCCGGTGGACCTCACGGACAATCTGGTGGCCAAGGAGGTCGTCGTGGAGACGCAGGATGTGGAGGCAGAGACTGACGAGTTCTTGCCAGAGCCTCCCCCGCTGCCGTACGTCCCGCAGAAAACAGGCATCGACGTGGCAACGCAGGTGGAGGATCGGGAGGGAGGGGGGCTGGGCTTGAGGGAGGAGGGGGGAGGGAGTGAGTGAAAGCGCGAGCGCGAGCACGAGCACGAGTGCTAGCGAGAGGGGAGAGCGAGGGCGAGGGCGGGAGGGAGAGAGAGAGAGAGAGAAGGAGAGGGAGAGGGAGATGCAGCGTCAGTCGTAGAGGCGGAGGCACAGGAGGAGCGAGGGACTGGTTGCATACGGAGGACGGAGAACTTTTCCACTTCGACGACGAGGTGGAACCGATCTTGGACGTCATCGTCAACAAAACACTGGAGCAGGCTGTCATGGAGGTGGAGGAGGAGCACGAGATGGCCGAAATGAAACACTTCAAGGGCGAGTGGCACAAGCGGCAGCAGGCCGGGTCCATTTCCATCGGACTGATCTGATTCGATCTCGATGTTGGCCGATCCAGCACGATTCGATGCCAATATTCCGACGATCCGATGCGGCCTGCGGCCGATTCGATCCGACTTCGTCTGCGTGCCGATGCGTTCCGATCGGGTCCTACTTACTGGTTCGATGTTGACTACTCTTGTCAGGCCACGATGAAGGACTGGCACGAAAGCGTCGAGGCGGAGCGGGAGCGCTGGAAGCAGAAGGAGGCGGCCCTGGAGCAGAAGCGTGCCCAGAAGCGTCGCGAGGCGCAGGCGCCGGTGGCCAGAAGCGCACGGCGGACACCCTCCGACACGACGTGCGCAAGCCGCGGCCCTGGAGCCCCCGATCCCCCTCCCCCTGGGGCGGACTTGAAAATGGAAACGGCAAAAAACGGCGACCAGAAACGGCAACAACAACGGCTCCAGGATTGGAAC